TTGCAGGTATGGCAACTAGTGTAGAACTTATATAGCAATATATAAGTGAACTACTTAAATTAGACACCAAAAGTGCACATGTGACTAGTTGTAACCTCTAATGTAAGAGAGCCCTTGGAGGCATCCGTTTTCTAACAAAACTTGAATAAAATATCGCATCACTAAGATAAGAACTTTAACTATAAAAAAAAAAAAAAACAAATAAGATAATTTTAATTATATTTAAAAAGTTTTAATAATTTTAGTAATATTATACTACTATATATTGCAAACTCTTATCTTATTTAATAATCACAGATTAAACAAATGAATAAAAAGTAAATAATAAGTAAATAACAAAAAAAAAAACTATTATTCTACTTTATTTTACCAAATAATGACAGCATAATAACAGCATAATAACAAAATAACAGTAATAGCAAAATAATAAAACAGTTTTATTATTTTACTTTTAGTTATAAAGACTAAAATAAATTAATAAAATTGTTTTATTATTTTGCTATTATATTATTATTATGTTACTTATATTAATAACTTTCTGCTATTTTACTGTTATTTTGCTATTATGCTGCAAATATAAAATAGAATAATAGTAGATTTTTTTTTATTATTTATCTATTATTCATCTTTTATTTATTTGTTTAAACTGTATAATATCTGCAAAAGAATTTTAATTGTACTTAAAAAATTATAGTAATTCTAGTAATAATATACTATCTTACAGATTTTATTTTATATTAGTTGGTTAATTTTAATTTTGTTTATTATAGACTTTGATATAAATATGATCAGAACCTAATTTGGTATCTTTGTTTTGTACAAAATAATATATATCAATCTTTAAGATTTTTACTTTTATAGTTAGATATTTAACTATATTAAAGACATTTCTAATTTTGATTAGGTTATTCTTTATTATAGACTAATTTTGTGTTCACTATTTCTTTTATTATTTTAGTTTTAATTATTTTTAAGTTATTTTTTTAATCAAATTCTCTTTTTGAATTCTAATTAAAACTTATTTATACAATTTATTAATTATTTTTTTAACCAAATACTTTAAAGTTAAGTATGAATATGTTGATATTGTTTATATTAGAAAATGTAAAGATATTAATACTGCTCTAGTTTTAAGAACTTATATTTGCAATCTTTCTATAACTGTAATGTCTGTAAGATTGTTGTTATGCATAATGTTTATACTTTATAATTAGGTTTCTTTTTAAGAATTTTTTATTTCAAATTTGTATCTATATTTGGACTTTTTTACAAAACTTTGCATATGATTAATGACTTCAATAAATTACAAAAACAAAATTGCTTTCAATCTAATTCAAACTGTTGATCTTATCTATAAAGGATTAAAAACTTATTTACAAAGCTATAGAACTCAAACTTTAATATATATTTTTAAAATTTATATTTTAAATTAATTATATTATAATTTATTTAAAAAATTTAATTAATTTTTTATTATTAAGTTTTATTATAATTAACCTATTAATAACTTTTCTAAAACTATCTTATTTAATACTTTTAAACTTACTTTACAGATCTACCAATTTGTATTACTAACCCAATTAACCTTTCTTTTATTATTATCAAAACTAATTTGATTTTATAATCTTTTGCTCTTTTACTTGATAGTAACAAAATAATTACTATTACGTATTAATCAATTTTTTTTAATACAATATATACAGTCAGATTTCTCTATAATCATCTTCTTTATAGTCACATTCCTTATAATCATAAATTTTAAACCAACTTATATAATACTTATAAAATTTAACCTTTATATAGGCACAGACTTTCTATAAGTACCAAATTCTTAAAACCAAGAATGTGATTATAGAGAGGTTTAACTGTACATGTTTTACATAATATTGAAGGCTATAGAAACATCACCTTTTATCTCATAGTATCTAATATTTTTTTAAACCTTTTGATGTGGTATCCTTTATACTAAGCTTTTGTTTTCTTTAAAAGGTTTTAGCGATTATACTGTACTTTTGGCGCAGTATATTGTGATTGTGACATCATAGTAAGATAAAATTCTAATGTTGTTATTATGTAAAGAGGTTTATATTAAACGATTTGTAGTTGTATAATTAAAAAACGTTAGATGCTATAAGAGGACTTATAGATGAAAGAAGACGATTTTTTTATAACCTTTAATATTACGTTTAGATCCTCTATTGTTTTTTCAAAATATCATATATAACAATAAATATAAAAAGTGTTATATGTCATCAAAAAGTATAAAACGAGTTTCCTGTAATAAGGATTGACTCTAAATAAATGTGTTCGGTCGTTTATAAGTCTTTTTTTCGATTCTTTTACTTCTTTATTAAAAATTTAAACTCAAAGAGATCAAAAAAAAAAAAAAAAAAGGAAATACCCTGTTTCCTAATGTTTTTTTTTCTTTTTGGAAATCAGGATTTTTTTGTCGATTTTTGAAAACAATTTCTTCAAAAATTTTTTGAAAAGTGTTCCTTCTTAATATGAAATATAATAGAGAAAAAAATTCAGATTTGCCACGAGATGAATTAATTACAATAAGCGTTTGTCATACATATTTGCGTAAAAAAGAAGAGTTTTTGCCATAATTAAATAATAAAAAATCCATAGTAGGGAGGAACATAAACATAACGAAAAAAAATTATTATATTAATTTCGTATACTTTTAAAGGGGTGGAAAAAAATGCATATATGAAAAGATGAGATTCTATAGCTATCATTACTATGCGGATGTAGTGTTGAACATAATTTGATATTTGATGCGAAGGGAGGAAAATATATACAAATAAAAAAAACATTTAATGCGAGTTGAGAAATGTAAACGAAGAATAAATGATATGATAAAAAAAAAAAAAAAAAGACGTAATCGATTTTTCTAATAAGGAAAAATAAGTTCCGGAAGGTTTTAAAACATCGTGTAATCATTCTCATTAGACAATTATTGAAAATACAAGATCACAAAAAATTATACAAAAGAAAATGACAATTTTCGAATAAAAAAAGATGCCGTGAAAAAATAAATTGAAAGCATTTTGTTTCCACCCATATATTTCCAATTTCCCGTTTGTGGAAATTTGATGATTATATAATATTATGATTTAAAAAAAAAATCAAATACGAAAGTTCTTTTATATAAACATGATAGATCATAACGAGCCATCATATTTCTTAATATCCTCGGAAGATAGCAGCATGATGACTCAGCATTTTAACGCCTTCAATTTCGCCTTCGTAACGAGTCTTCTTGACAGTTCTGCCTAATCTATGAACTCTAAGATGTCGACGCATGTTACTCTGTACCGAGAATTTTCTGCCGCATCCAGGTTCAGTGCACACAAAAGGTTTTTCACCAGTATGGGAATAGGTATGAATCCTAAGTGAACTTGGTCGCGAAAATCGTTTTGAACAATAAGGGCATTGATAACGGTTTCCACTTGATGAATCATTTGGTGATATTTGACCATTAAAGTGATCAGTATGATAGCCATAATGTTTGGTGGCAGGGGTTAATAACGAAGTATTCAATCGTGGAAGGGATTGCATTGCTGATAATGTCGGTTTACGACTGAACGGAGAGATCGGGATCGGATGAATGAGTGGCGGACAAGATGAGTATCGTTGTTGGGAATATGAAGATTCATAGACACTTGGGGATGATTGCTGGTTATACGAAGATTGATAGATTGACACTGGTCGGCCGACACAACAAGCACATTGTTGTTCAGATGTTTGAGGAACTATATATCTTTCTTCATGATGTTGAAGTTGTCGAGAACCATATGTGGAAGCTATTTCAGGAGATTCAGGTGGTGAGAGCAAAGTTCTGATACTGCCAGCATGACGATCATAGGAAGGAAGACTGGGCAATTGTACAGCGCTCCTAACCGGTGAAGGAGAAGAGAGCGGACCTATAAAAATCATAACGTTTATACATGAGTTATTTAATACAAAATCTTTCTAAATAGCGATCCGTACATACCATGAGCATCATTCGTAGGAGAAAGAAGGAATTTAATCGGAGGAAGAACGGTATGAGATTGCATGGTTTTTTTTTTTGATTTTATTTTTGTTCTTATATTTTTAATTTTTTATTTTATTTTTAATGAGAAAAAATACTTATAAAGTCTTTAATAAAATATTTCAACAAAGTAAAAACGACTACAATAGCGTAGAGCGAGTATTTTTAAAAACTAAATTGACAAAAAATGTCATGGGAGATTATATATAGTTTTTTTTTTTGTCATAAAGACTTCGGATTTTTTTACGGAATATATAATTATTTACAAACTGTTTCAGCGAATAAAGGACGATATTACATAATCAGATAAGCAAAATATTTTGGTTTTGCATCCGGCATCCAATTTTTTTTTATTTTTTTACATAGATCGACTAAATGGTCAGAAGGTCAAATAAATTTTAGTTCTCTTTTTGTTTGAGATCATTAAAAAAAGCGATCACTAAAATCGTCAGACATACACGTTCGACACCAATTAATGCACGCACGAACCTTTTTTTTTTTATTAGTGTAGATCGTAATTCCATAATGGGAAGAGCGGGAAAGTAACTCACCGAGTTTTGGGATTCACGGACATATAATTTCGGAAACATTCCATCATTAGATCTTCACGGGTTTCACATATAATTATTCTTTTTGAATCCAATAATGGTATATTAGTTTTGGAAATTCATTCTTTGATGGTCGAATCACTTGATAAAAAAAAGAGACGTAGATAAAAAAGATTTGCAATCTTTGGAAGATCGACGGTTTGTATTCGGATATCACATTGGTTAATTAAACATTATTTAAATACATCAATAATAAAGATATCAGGTGAGAAAATAAATTATTAGTTTTTGCCTAAAATTATCCATACATAAAGCTGCAATACGCATCAATGACGATTGTGATCTATTGACGTTTCTTTAATAGATCAGTTGATGAGATAAAATAAAAAAAGAGAAAGAACAGAAATGCAACGAAAATCACACTCTTTCGTAGATAAGTTTGTCCGTGCCAAGATTTTCTTTGGATAGTCGAAATTTATATTTAATCACAGCAAAATGCATTGCATAATATTTTGTAAATATTGTGATTTTGTTATATGCATCTTAATCCACATGGAATTAGTTGTCCATACGGTAAATTTTTAAATATTTATGTGATCTTATATCATGTGGTTTACCTCATAGTTTCGGATTTACCGGACGATCCGAGTAGATCACTAATTCGTATTATAAATATGTATTATATGGAGTAACAAACATCGACGATCCTTTAGACATTCATATCTTGAATCGTGATCTTAGTTAACCAACCAAAATCTCAAGATTACAAATGTGAAAGATTAACAAATTAGTGATTGGTTCTTTAAAAATTTACTTATAATAATATATTTGATATGTACATATGTACATATTTCCGTGTGACAATGCTCTAAATCTGCGGGATATTCCGACTTGATTTACAAATGTCCAGCATGTAATCAACGAACATTTAATATCTTATTTAACACTAAACAACAAGGATCTGCATAGAAAGCATTTTCGGTAAACGCCGATCCGTAAGAATGTTTTAAGATTATCAAACATGACAAAGCGCATAAGGAATAAGTCTAACGCAGCTAGGAAACAAATTACGGTAAATTACTGTAAAAATGATGGCACGAATCCGAAATTTCATAAATATAATTAGGATTGATTTGTAAGCTAAAAATGTTATATAATACATTTATAAGCGAATAATTCAATTTATCGGACCATAGAATTTCCGCGGACAAAGCCTATGCCAATTTAAAAAAAATTCTTAACAGTAATGCGTAATGAGCACATCCTGAATCTGACGTTTAACGTCAGATCGTCAATTGAAAAATGAATCATTCGACATCGGTATCTACAATGCAAAAGATCATTAATGAATCTGTTTTCTGATTACAAATATAAAAGTTCTATTAATCGATCCAACGGACGACATTGGAGTTCTAGGGTTTATCAAATTACGCAAAGGACATCATAGCTGTCAACCAACCAACTATTGCACGCCGATTATTAACATTGAGGATCTTTAAAATCTATATTACATGATTGAGAAGAATTAGAGAATATTTAAATATCATTGGACATATATAATATATTGATATTGAGGATATTGATATTGATGATATTGATATTGATATTGATGATATTGATATTGATATTGATATAGTATATAAAGTACATACGTAGTATACATACGTAGCATACATACATAGTATACATAGCATACATAGCATACATACATAGTATACATAGCATACATACATAGTATATATAGCATACATATATAATACAATATTTTCAATACGATCATCACGTAATCATTATTAATTAGTAAAAGGATGTCATACCTTTTTCTACCCTGATGCAGGAATTTTCCTTAATTGATTGCTAATGCGAGGAGGTAATCACCAAACTTGCCCTGAAATGGTACATCCTTATTTAGTAAGCAAATTACGTAAAAATTTTATTGACTTTCCATATTAGTACGTCTATTCTATTTTAAAGTTGCCGATTTCTTTCTAATATGTAGAAAAAAACATTGATCGGAATTTTTTTTTCAGTAGGTTCGTTCTATATCTTCTATATCTTCTATATCTTCTATATCTCGTATGAAATTAAACCAATCATCGTTTATTCTAATTATTCTAGTATTTTTAATATGTTTAATATGCTTAATATGTTTAATTATCATAACTGCGCAACATACTTTCCATTCATTCATACTAAATCCGGTTAGCTTGGTTTCTCATTGAACATTTGAGTAACCCGTTTTATGGTTTTTTGTTTCGGGCAATAAATCACGTGAAAAATTTCCCTGCAGCGAACTTGACTTCTTTAAATACCGTATAGTTTGATCGATGTTTTTATGTCAATTCATCAGAACTATCCTATCTCCCGTAAAATTGTTATTAAACTTTTGGTTCCGTTTAGTTCCGAAGACCATACTGCGCAAAGATTTATAAAGTATCATGGTTCGTATGTTCTTTCGGAATATTACAATAACCTATGTACTTTCGTGCATACGTATGCATGTACGTGTGTACTTTAAATATTATGCACTCATCGGGTTGGCCAATTTACAGCCAGAATTATAAACTATATCCCGCATTATCGACAAATTTAGCCTTTTGCCGATGCCACTGAAATTAATAAGGTTGCACCGCTCTGAAACATGTATGGCATTAATCCATAGAGAAAATAGCCTAGGAAAAAATGATGTCAGAGAGCATAAGTACGTAACAAACAATTTTTATATATTTTTAATTGTTGTTACTTAAGAACATTCCGCGTTCTAATTTCTTAAATTGCGTAAAAGGATAAGTGATTAATTTTAATTTCGCATCGGAAATACCTTTTGGAATGTTAGTACTAAGTGTCACTCAAGCTTCAATATGGCGTATATTAAGAATAGTATAAAAGGATTCGTGTTATTTAAAAGAGGTTGCATATTTTTACATAATGGCGTAATCACATCCTGAATGTAAATCAAATGCAATGTCTAACTCTTTTTGGAAATATAACGTTTCACTAATAAAAAAAATCACCGTAAAAACTATTTCTAGATGCAACATCTAAACTCTATGCAAAAATATTCAATAACTCCGAAATGTTTCTTTATTGCTAGGAATAGTTAGAATGGCTTCTAAATGCAAGCTTCAAGATCGTTGATGTACATGTAATTTCTAAATATTAATAAGCTTTTTATATACTTATTGTACATGTAATTTCTAAATATTAATAAGCTTTCATATACTTATTTGATGTTATTTTTAATAATAAGTCTAGTATTATAAATGAGTGACGCCAAAGGAAAACAAGACTTCGATCATATAAATTTTATTTGATCAAGGTTTAGTTTCTCCTTGGCACCATTCAAATACTATATAGTGTAAAAATAGGCGTAATGTAGTTTGATTAATAATTATGTACGTACAGTAATATTGTTTTTATTAATTACATGTACTAATAATTATGACGCGTCTCTAATAAAGGTTATGTGATTAAGAATATTATATAATTACTGTTTTCAAACATAATCAATATTAAAGCTTCGCTAATTTATACTAAAGAATTACTTACACATGATAGTTATTGGTTTATTGGTCAATGTTCACATTTTTGAACATAATATATAATATAAAACCTTTTTAAATTGAGTATTTTTAAAAAAATTGTAAAAAATACGGGCAGGATATTTTAAAATGTAGCCTAACTTTTAAATAAATAATAAATTTTATTTTTCTGCCTTAGAGGTGCACGTCTGAAATCTGTGACAGGTTACGTCGATCATCAAATGGAAATAGCATAAAGATCAGAATTAAGCGCAGACTTTAATTTACTTGATATTTACTTGATATTTAATATTCAATATTTAAATATACTCATATAACTAAAATTTCGTGCTGAAAACCTTTTATTTAGAAGTCAAACTGTGTTTTTTTCGAATTTTTTAAGTTACACATGATATTGTGATTTTATTGGCTACTATCGGGGATGGCTAAAGCCATGTCCGGTGTTAGGGATTACATTTTTGATGCATTTAAGGTTAGTGGTTTATAAAAACATCAATAATACGATTTATGCAATATGTAGATCAATATGTAATTGGACACGGCTTCAAGGATCGACATAACCTGTTTTAGATTTCAGACGTGCCTTAGAGGTACGTACATAGTTACATATTAAATTCATTTAACCACTTTTTTTTTTTTAGTAAAAGATTTTCAATTGGAAAATTCTTTTTTAATTCTATAGTACAAAATGCGCCAATCATTAATTATGTTGTTATTTGGCATACAAACATCTTTTAAAGTTTCATAAAATTTCTATATTACATATTTAAATGACCAAAAAAATTTTTTTTAAAAAAATTTTTAAAACTAATTGTTATTTTTAAATAATAAAAAATGCTTTTTTTTAAATAAAAATTTGTTTTAAAATAACTTCTTAGTATATTGCAAATAATTTCTATATTATATAAAATATCTAACTGAAATCTGTTCTATTA